TACATAATTGTTAAACTGCTAAACTCACTAAAATTTCCTGGAAGTACATTTTATGAAAAACTATTAATATATTTCATAAATCACTAATTTCAATGCAAACCACCAGATATGATAATCAAATATAAATCTACATACAACATGCTGTATTGGTAGACAGTGTTTGTTTATCTTGAGATACCTAACTGTACTGTGCAGCCTAATACAGAGTATTCATAAAAGATCTGAATGATTTGATTCCTAATATTTCCAGACTAATTAAGATATAAAACTAGAACCATGTATAAACAATAGAGCAACTATCAGTTTGCTTGATTACCGAATGATTGATTAACAACAAATTTTCGATATCGTTGGATTGGTGTGATGCCTCTCCGTTGGCCCCAAGATCATCAGATATTGCATTGATTTCTTCCTCTGGGGTTTTGTTAGAGATGTTGTGTTGTGTACAATACCAAGGTTGCCAACATTCAAGAACTATGAATCAGGATCAAAGATGAAATAGTGATGGTCAATGCTAGCATGCCTGAATGCACATGGCAAGAAGTTGTATGTCAATAGGTTGTTGTATGGACAACCAATGATGCACATGTTGAAGTGTATTAAACATGTAAAACAATACTAGTTGCTCTATTGCTTACACATAATTTTAGCATTACAGTGGTCCTCGGTTACTGAGCACAATTCGTTCCAGAAGGTTGCTAGTTAACCAACTCATGTTCAATGGTTTTGGGTAATTGGTTTCAGCTCACCGAAATTAAATACAAACTAAAAACAAATGCAGTAAAGTACACTTACTTTGAGGTGTGCATGTAGATGGCTCCTGGTTGATGATGATGGGAATTAGAATGGGGGAGGAGAAGGAGAAGAAATGGCATTGGGGTGGAAGAGAAGTCACCCCATGCCGTCATTTCACCTATAAAATTTTAGTTCACTTGGTGTAATTCAAGATTATTTTCTTTAAATCAACACTGCACTGTGCTATATATTATCAATATGTAAAATATATTTAAAAATGAATAAATTGACTGGAAACACAGAAAAAGCATTTATGTTGAAGAGTCTCAAACAAGATGTTCCTTCCTCTGAACTGGTACAAACTGAGCCAAGCTTGATGTGTTGGTGGCTGTTTGGCACACAAAAAATAGTTCCTGTACTTTAATTATGTTAAATAATTGTTAAAATGACTAAAAAATTAATATAAAACCTTTAAAATTATTGAATAGTACAACCTTCTTGATATTTACTAAAATGGTAGGAATTTAAGCCCCAAACGATTACTGTATTGGCGGACTAATACTACAGCTGGTGGGCAGCCAAATGCAGCTGTATGTTGCGAAAAAATTCATGAATTAATTAACCGGGTGATAGTGCACGTGGGAATTTTCCCCAAAGTGTTTACTTGGGGATAATGTCTGTGTCCCTGATTGGCAACAAATAAAGATCTTGATGATCCTCTTAATAAATGTTCTGAATGAAATTATTTTATAAAAACAAATTTAATATAAATAAGTTTCATTGAGCTAAGGGATACTTGATATAATAGTCAGGAGACAGAATCGACATAGTGAGTTATTGTTTATATTTGCCATGGTGACTTGTATAACAATAAGAGATCTTAATGCATTAACTTATGAATAATATAACATTTATGAGTCATATTGATTAATTTGGGGAAAAATGCTTTCTCCTTATTAATTACAGTGAACCTCGACAACGGTTTCACTTTACTCGTTTCTACATTTCTGTTGCCTGCCAGAACCGAATTCCCACTTTACGTGATGCATCTACTCATATACGCAGGAGAAGTATAATTTTTTTTATTTAGCTCATAAAATTCATACAAATTATCCGGCCAGAATATAATTTACATTGCTGGAATTCTTACAATTTGATGATCATTTTGAATATAAGCATCATAGATTTTGCATTAGACATACAAATTTTAGATCTAATGCAAGTATTTTGTTTACTCAGAGCAAATATGTTATCTTTTGTGCAAAATATATGAAGTGTATATTCAAAATATTCCTGGTCTTGCAAGGAATCCAGCAATGTCAATTATATTATCCTAACTTTAGTCTGAGGTATTATTTATTACTAAAAATGTAAATATACTGTTATAACCCAATCATTTCTCTGGTAGGGAGGGAAGGTGGGGGTGAGGGGTAGGGAGGGACCCAGGGAGCAGGTGGGAAGAGGGGGGGAGGTGGGGTATTTTGATTGACAGATAGTATTTCGGTAAGTATATTTTGTTTATTTATTGAAGATATTTGTTTTAGCTCATAAAATTCATACAAATTACCGGGCCAGAATATAATTTACATTGCTGGAATTCTTACAATTTGATGATCATTTTGAATATAAACATCATAGATTTTGCATTAGACATACAAATTTTAGATCTACTTTAAGAATTTTGTTTACTCTGAGTAAATATGTTATCTTTTGTGCAAAATATATGACATTTATATTCAAAATATTCCTGGTCTTACAAGGAATCCAGCAATGTCAATTATATAATCCTAACTTTAGTCTGAGGCATTATTTATTACTAAAAAGGTAAATATTCTGGTTTCTCCCACACATTTCTCTGGTAGGGAGGGACCGACCTACCATCTGGCGAGGTTGGAAGAGGGGGGGAGGCAAGGTGGGGTACTTTGATTGACAGATAGTCTCGTGAAGAATATTTTTTTTTTTTATTTACTGAAGATATTTGTTTTAGCTCATAAAATTCATGCAAATTACCCGGCCAGAATATAATTTACATTGCTGGAATTCTTACAATTTGATGATCAATTTGAATATAAACATCATAGATTTTGCATTAGACATACAAATTTTAGATCTACTTTAAGTATTTTGTTTACTCTGAGTAAGTATGTTATCTTTTGTGCAAAATATATTCAAAATATTCCTGGTCTTACAAGGAATCCAGCAATGTCAATTATATTATCCTAACTTTAGTTTGAGGTATTATTTATTACTATACCTTAAAATCTAGTGGTTTTCCCCCAAACATTTTTCAGAGAGGGAAGAGCCAGGAGTGTGAGAAGAGGGGGAGGGAGTTGAGTCTATTATTTGAATGGACATTAACTTGGCAACTGTATTTCTCTATTTCTCTTCAGTATTAATTGTGTGCATGTACCATCATAAAATTAAGATGTTATTTTTACTAGAACATAGGTATTGTGTCGGAAAAAGTGGAGTTTGGGGGTCAGCCAGTCTCTATTTCATTTAATCCCATATGTTATGTTGTTCACTTTACGCGGGCCTCCGTGGGTTCAATTGACCGCGTAAAGTGAGGGTTCACTGTATTATTATTAATTTGTGATATAATGATATAATGTGACTCATGGTATCCTCCTAGTTCAGATGAGTGAAATTATCTCCTAGTCAATTGACAAAATCCTTATCTCAATTAGTGAATCAAGCAGACCCTGGCAAGTAACTTTTGGCACATGACACTAGGAAATATGCAGGGTCTGTGGCCTTTCTGCGGCATATGAGTCTCAGTCAGATCAAGGAAATGGGCTTTTGGAGATCTTCAAAAACTTTCAAAGACAGCTATCTTCATCTATCTCTGAGAGATGCTTCAAATGTGGTGGTGCTGGGTTCCCCTCCCCCATCTAGTCAATCTCCACTACCAGGACCTTCTTCCTCATTAGAATAAAGTGAGTATCCTTTTTGAGTAAATTAACATTTTACCTTCTGGTAAATGTTCCTAATTTTGGAAATGTTCAAAACGGTTTATAATATAATCGGGACCTCAGTTAGCGGAGCCTTGTATGCAGTCACCTCCCTCTCCACCTCCTGCTCGGGTATTCTTGCTAACGTCGCATTCAGAGCTTGAACAAAAAAACGTTTTTTTCTAAAAACCAGTTTTTGCTGAGAGTCGCATTCGAGCTATATCACAAAAACTGGTTTTTAGAAAAAAACGGCTTTTTTTTAAATTCTCTCTTTTAATCTTTATTTAATATATGTTATTTTAAATGAAACCTTTCCTCTAGACCATTGACACCTCGGAAATTTGTGAGGCTGTACCTTCACAAATAGTAGCTGTGTAACCCTGGTCTATAAAAAAGGGAAGGTTTCCTGCAAAGGATAATTGATGCTAAATATACTGACATTAATACATAAATATTTACAGTGGTCCCTCAGTTAACGAACGGTTCGATTAAAAAAATTATGGTTAACGAATTAACTTCCATAAGGATCTTCAATTCGGTTAACGAACAAAACTTCAATTAACGAAATCCTTACGACAAACACCTTTTGTTGTGAGCATCAGCTGATGGGCTAGTCTGCCAATTCAGTAATCTGTTCTATGTTTACATTCGTTTCCAGTGAAGTAAATATCAAGAAAGTTGTGCTCTTTAATATTTTTGCATATTTTATATTAAAATTATTAGTCATATTAAAATTTAGTTAACATATTGAAAATATATGCAGTACAGGGAACTAGTTTTTTGTGCACCCATCAGCCGCTTGACTCGCCCACCAGGCGTCAGTTTGACTTTGTTTACAATGGAGTGAACATCGATTTTGTTGCTGTCTTGAATATTTTTGCATTTTTACATTAAAATTATTGGTCATTCTGAAATTTAGTTAATATATTGATAATATATAGCGCAGTGCAGTGTTGATTTAAATAAAATAATCTTGAATTACACCTAGTGAAATTACGGCATCAAGCATGAGTCCCCTGAAAGGTTATTTCTCCTTCATCACCACTTCCTTCTCTTCTCCCTTCTCCTCCACCCCCACTTCTAATTCCCATTATCATCATCAACCAGGAATGTTCTACATATACACCTCAAAGTAAGTGTACTTTACTGCATTTTTTTTTTACTTTGTATGTACTTTTCTGAGCTGGAGCCAATTACCCAATACAGTATCCCATTGAAACAATGGATTCGGTTAACGAACGACTTTGTGGAACGAATTGTGTTCGTTAACCGAGGGACCACTGTACACTGGTTATTTTTTTTTTTCTTGCTTACATCAAGTGCTTCTTGAGCTCCTGACCAATCACGAGTTTCATTTGGGGTCCTACATTCTATTTCCTCTAGCAACCTGTAAGAAAAGAAAAAGACAAGATTATTTTTTGAATACAGTACAGTATATATAATAAGTTGCTTCAACATGCTTGATGGCAGCTGAGTCACCAGAGCTGTACCATTCATTGGCCTCTACTGCATTTCCTGGGCTGGTACCCTGGGTTTGCAATGATGAGTAGGTGGAGGAACAGGGGAGACATACCATTCTGGTTTTACCCAACAGCTGCCATCAGGCAATTATAGCTAACCCATGCAAATGTGGAAAATTACTGATAAATGTTGTTGATGATGACAGCACACTCCATGACTTCATACATGTGCATACCTGCACACCTGCCCTTGGATGAGTATACATGCATGATATAGTACCATATAGGTATGGGGATGTGTATAATTTGGTGGTAGTCCTTTGGACCTTGAAAAAATTTAAAATTTCAAAATCAGACCCATTGCTGTCAGTAACACCCTCTGCTGACCCATCAAGGGAGCAACCATGGGAAAAGTCTACTGGGAAGTTCCTTCACTGCTGATACCAAATTAACTGGGGTTTGCTACCCTAAAGCTGAGTAGCAACAGTCTACAATGTTAGCCATATTAGATTTCAAGAATGCTTTCACCTAGACTAGAAGAGATGAGGTAATCAAGATTCCCATCTTTTTTCCCTGTTAGATGCACATAAATCTATATTCTTAGAGATTAGTACTACGATACCTATAGGATGATCTCATTTTCTTTTAAATACACAGAAAGATTATATACTCTACTGTGCTAGACAAACCAGTAAATAGAATTCATGCAAAAACTTTGTTGTCCCTGGGGTTTTTATTGTTTGAAGGTGCTTGAGATGTTTGATATTAATTTGGCAAAATAGCAGCCTCTTAAGGAAAAAGACTTTCAACAATAAACAAGGATTTAGAGGTGCAATGTGATATGACATTTTCACATCAAGTACAGTATTGTAATTGTATTAATTCAGTGGCAGATAAGAGTGGTTTGGGGAATTCTGTTGAACCTTGTGCCAAGACTAACGCGTCACCTATCAACTTGCACACATTCTTGGACCGCTTGTCATCCATATACAGGTAGTTCTGCTATAACGCGATAATTGTGTTCTTGTAAAATATCGTGTTATAGAAAATCGCGTAATAGAAATAACAGGGCTTATGGAGAAAATAGGGTTAGGTGCAGATTACTCGAAATCGAAAAAATTTAGTAGTTAGCCTAACACAAAGGATAGCACAGTCTAAATAAATGTTACATTCATATCTAATAATGAAATCATACAGTAAATTTAACACTTTACCTTGAAAAAATATGAATGTAACTTGATGGGGGAGAAGGGTGATTTTGAGGTTGATAACATCGAGCTTCTCTTCAAGTGTTATATCCTTTCTTTTACGATAATCACCGGGAATTCTATCATCAGAACGCTTTTTGGAGATATTCTTCTTTACCATATTCACAGTTAATACCACAAAATTGGAGAAATAGTAAGCAAAAATCGCGTTATAGCAAACAAGCGTTCGCGTTATACAAATATTGTTCCGAATTCATAAATCGCGTTAGAGCAAATTCGCGTTATCAAAACACGCGTTATAGCAGAACTCACTGTACAGTAATCTCTCATTAGCTTGAATAATTGGTGCAGAGCTCTTCCGATACTGAGAGATTTGTGGGTAATCAGACAACTCTCTCAAACCCGGAAAAAATCTGACATCCCCAGAATATTTCTGGTTTTGTAATAGGAAAAGTTGCTTAGTCTAAACTATGCATCTCACATGGACAGACACTATTCCATATCCATGAAATGTTTCTGGGTTCTGGGAAAAGTTTTACGAGTCTAAACTACGCATTTCATCTCCCACCGACAAACACTCTCTCATTACATTTAGACCGTGGGCAAGAGTGAAAATATTTATGGCTAGTCAAAAATGTATAAACTTTTATTCACAGCATCTGATCTAATAGTGTTAGAGAAGAATTAGGTACCATAATGATCCTGAATAAATTCTCTATGTGACTATTCAAATAAAAGATCCTTAAACACAATATTTCAGCATGATATAATGATGAGGACTCAATTATTTTAATAAAAAACTAAATAAATGTTGATACAGGAGTCTATAAAATCAGCCTTTAAGTTAGAAACATCAATTTTTTTACCCAAATAATCATGAATAGTTTATGTAAAAGTTGGGTTAAATAAATATAGTTTTTAAAAAACTAAAAATCTAAATATTACAACAGGCAGTCAAATGAAGGCATTTTTGAGGTGTGAGCAAATATATTTATGGCTAGCAAAAAATGTTTAAACTTTAGTTCACAGCATTTGTTCTCATAGTGTTAGAGAGATGACTTTGGTACCATAATAATCCTGTATTGGCCTCGTTTGTCACCTCAGAGCTCACCAACGAAGGCGACATCCTTAATAACTCATATCATTGTATCATAGCTGGATGATCGTCGTACTCAATTCTGAGTGATTTAAAAATAAAGAAACAAAATATCAAGAGTAAGAAACATATATATATATATATATATATATATATATATATATATATATATATATATATATATATATATATATATATATATATATATATATATATATATATATATATATATATATATATATATATATATATATATACATATATATATATATATATATATATATATATATATATATATATATATATATATATATATATATATATATATATATATATATGTAGTGTATATATATATATATATATATATATATATATATACATATATATATACAGTTGTACCCCGCTTAACGCAGTCAATTGAACCCACAGGGTACCGCGTTAAGTGAACAACAGAACATATGGGATTAATTCCAATAGAGACTGGCCCGACCCCCAAACTCCACTTTTTGACGACACACAACTATGTTGTAGTAAAAATATTATCTTAACTTTATGATGGTATGCACATACAATTAATAATTAAGAGAAATGTCAATAATATTAGGCTATTTAACACTTACATTAGTAGAAAAGATGGCTGGGCACACGGGGATGGGGGTTGGTTCCGAGGCAGAGGGCAGACTATTGGCCCTCACCTGTATCACTTGTATCAATTGTATCACTATCCACCACAGAGGCTTGCAGGGCCTCTTTGTCAAACCCCTCAAAGTCCATATAAGTCCATATCCTCTCTATAATTATCACTATCACTGACTTGGGCCGGCTGTGGTGGGTGGCGGGTGAAGAACTCGGTAATGTTTTGATGACTGGGCGACCTTGTGCGCACCGTGCCCGCGCCGCTTACACAACATGGCGGATGGCGGGAGGTTTGGATCCAAAAATGGCGCAGCTCGCCAGCCGCTCTCCGCGTAAAGGGGAACACGCACCGCGGAATGTGAGCATCCCGGGTTCCGGCATGGCTAAGTTTATTACAAAGTGATGAAAAGGGTACGCTTAATACTGTAGTCCACAAAACATGTAGCTATGCTTTTTTTATTTGGTCCCCGTCATACGAGTCCGTTTTCTCTCACATCAGGACGCCTGTGTCCTCCGTTTTCTCTCTTAATCTTAGAGTGCATCAGAAACTTTACTATTTTTAGTAATGCCACAGATTTTGAAATTGCAACTCCAATTGCAACTTGCAATTGTTGAGGCAACTAGATATGTCTGATTACAGCAAAAGTGTTTTTGTCAATTTGTAGGTGAAAGATTTTATCCTTAATAGATGTAGGTTAACATTTCACCTGTAGGCAGATGCTTAGAAAAGCCTAAGTAAGGAAGCATATTCCTTTAACACATAATATCTGACCAGTATGGGGAGGATCATCGTGTCTCCGTCAGGTGGTCGTGGAGTGGTTGTCCAGTAGGCGTCACGTGTTTGTTGTTTTTTTGTTTTTTTTGAGGGGGGGGGGGGCCACGGACATATATGCGATCGGACGTTAACCGGCGCATTACTGTAGTTGCAAAAATATTACATTTCCGTGAATGTATTATATCAAGAACAGTATGAATATAATATCACTAATATAACAGTATTTTAACCGAAAACTATCAAAAAAACGAGTAACATATCTTGAACATCGGAAGGTTAGGTAAAGTCTTTTGTTTTCATGTAGTTTATCCTAATTTACATTGAAATACATTACGTTTCAGCAAAACTACTATTTATTTCTGAGAATATGGAAATGTAATATTTTTGCTGAAAAGACGTACGTATTACAGTGGAAAGTGACGAAAGCAATTACTTTCTCTTTCTTTCGTTCAAAAGATGTTACCGTAATCGCTTTTCGAATGGTTTTCAGTTAAAAAACTGTTGTATTACAATAATATTCTATCCTAATTCACTTGTGATGCAACAGTATTTTAACTGAAAACCATTAGAAAAGCGATTACGGTAACATCTTTTGAACGAAAGAAAGCGAAGTCATTGTTTTCGTCACGATTTTATCCCACTTTCCACTGTAATACGCACGTCATTTCAGCAAAAATATTACATTTCCATGAGTGTAGTATATCAAGCACAGTATGAATTGAATATATCTTGTAATATAACAGTATTTTAACCGAAAACTATTAAAAAAGCGAGTAACATCTCTTGAACATCGGAAGGTTAGGTAAAGTCTTTTGTTTTCGACATGAATTTTATCCTATTTAACATTGAAATACATCACGTTTCAGCAAAACTAATATTTATTTCTGAGAATATATTCATTCAGGCACAGTTTAGGTAAAATATACATGTGATGTCATAGTTTTTTAACTGAAATCGATTCGAAAAACACGTACCCTCTAGCCCTGTTCAAGGAGAAGACTGGGAGGAGCTGTTTGGTGCTGAAGACGATGACAAGAAAAATGATTTTGATGGATTTTAATGAAAATATTCAGAAATATGGTATTGTAGTATTTATGCAAGTGAATTAGGATAGAATATTATTGTAATACAACAGTAGTGACAATGTGGAGGAGGCAGAGGGATAGAGCGGGGAAGAGTGGTGACGCTGGAGGTGGGAGCAGGGACGAGTGGAGATGCCAGCCAGTACATTACGGGTGTACAGTATTACGGTAATTGTTTTTATAGCTCTTTTTGCATTTTAAGATTAAATACAGTACATTACGTTTCAACAAAACTACTATTTATTTCTGAGAATATGGAAATGTAATATTTTTGCTGAAATGACATACGTATTACAGTGGAAAGTGGATAAAATTGTGACGAAAGCAATGACTTTCGCTTTCTTTCGTTCAAAAGATGTTACCGTAATCGCTTTTCAAATGGTTTTCAGTTGTGGGATTATGAGGCTAATGATAGGATAGAATATTATTGTAATACAGTACAACAGTTTTTTAACTGAAAACCATTCAAAAAGCGATTATGGTAAAATCTTTTGAACGAAAGAAAGAGAAATTCATTGTTTTCGTCATGATTTTATCCCACTTTCCACTGTAATATGTACGTCATTTCAGCCAAAATATTACATTTCCTTATTTATTTCTGAGAATATATTCATTCAGTCACAGTTAAGGTAAAATATACTTGTGATGTAATATTTTAATGAAAATACGGTATCGTAGTTTTCTTTTGTTTCAAATTTAATTAACAAAGATTGATGTTTCAAATGTAATGAACAAAAATTTATGTACAGTATCTATAAATAAACTTTAAAAATTTAATACTTTATGTTTTACATCGTCGTGTGCATACCTTACCATGCATTTGGCTACTTTGGGCTTGCTATGATGACGCAAGAGATCTGCCCTGGCAACTGTACCGACACTCACAGCTGGTGGTGCGTTGGTGCGTTGTTTCCATTGTTTACTGGTAGTTACTGGTAAATATTTTTCAACCTAACGAAACTAATACCCGTTTAGAAGTCGACCCCCAATTTTTTGCCAAATAATTTGGTCTTAAAAACTCGAACTACACACAGGTATATACAGTAAATAAGGACATGGGGAGCCAGGGTTTTTTTAGGAGGGGGGCAGCAAAAGTACACACAGACTGTGAGGAGGTAGAAGTGGACAATGAAGAGACATGCATTGACCTTGATAGTGATGAAAGTGAGCCAGACCCAACGAATGCTAGTGAAAGTGAGCCCATACCTCAGTCTTATAATGAAACTGAAATGTTGCCGGCATCAATAATCAGTGATTTAGTGTATGAAGAATCTGTGTGGCGATTTTTAGAGAGGGCAGAGAAAGACTTTGATCAGTAAGTGATTGATTATGACGAGGCCATTAAAGTTATACTCACTCCTCAGGATTTACGTAACTTCAAGTTGCTATGATCTTCAGGGATAATAAAACGAAGGAACTTAACAAAGTAAGATTGTAATACAATACTTTTGTCAAAATACTGTTTTTGCCCAAGATTATGCAAACTTTCTCCGCCTTTGTATTCGTATGTTAATTACGCTGGAAGGGGGGGGGGGTTAATGGTGGGAGATGAGTGTAGTGGTGTTTCCTTATTATTACACACTATTAAACTTAACAATATTATAAATCTTTGCTAATAATAGGAACGGAAAGATAAATACCGATAGGCAAATGAGTTGCTTATTATTAATTATTTTTTAGGGGGTTTATGGGTGCAAGACGAGTGCTGTTTTTGGTGATCATTAGCTTGTTATACAGTATTAGCCCACAATAATAATAAAATTTTGCAGAAAAACGTGATCATTGTTGGTTTGAAGCTCAAACAACTGTACATCATGGGTAGTTATTCTCATTCAACTTGCGATAAAATAATAACTATACACAGTGCAGCTCCTCCCCGACTGTACTGGCAAGCTTAAAAGTGAAAGTTTTGTGGTGCTGAGAAGAAAAAGATACACCCATTTTAGATTTTCTATGTATTATTTTCGCATTTTCAACTTACGACCCGGGTTTGGGTCCTTAACCCCGTCATAAGTCGGGGAGGAGCTGTACTAACTTTTAGTTTTCACAGTTCGCTAGGAGAGGGATTGAGCTGCACGATAAAAAAAATTAACCCTCTAGCTTAAAAAACAAAAAAGTTATGGTTGTTTGAACTTCAAAAAACTTTAAACGAGTTTTTCTCAGCTTTTTGAATTTGGCGTTTCACCCCCCCCCCCTTCTGACGCGGAGCGCTTCATGTCACAAATACTTTTTCTATTTCATAAGTACAAAACATAAAAATACAGTCCCTATTCCTACCATATTACATTATTTCTTATGGGAGGAATTGTCCCGCTTTGTGTTGCATTGGCGACCTAAACATTCTTACGGTCCTTATCTTTCAGTATTTACCGTATTTTGCGGCGTAGAAGACGCTGCATCGTGGAAGACGCACCCTGATTTTGGAAATGCAATTCTAGGAATAAAACTTTTTATACTTACTAACCGACACCAGTGAAACAGTTGCTTGATATACAGCCCTTTTCGCACAAGTACACACACCTCTTTGAATATCGTCACTTAGAATTGCTTATCAGTTGTCATTTTCATCAATTTTTAATAAAAAATCTGTATAAGAAATGAAAATCTTTAATACAGCACTCATATTCTACACCTGGTTCCCCCCCTTTTCTAGCAGGCTGTAGTGTTTACATTATTTCCTTGATTTTGTAGATATAACAATGATGCAATTCCTCAATAGATGGCGCTGCCGCACCACTGCCATTAGTAAACAAACCGCACAATAGCAAGGGTTGCGTAGCTGCAGCCATTTATTTTTTCTAACTGAGTAAGTAAATAATTGTATTTTTTGCAGTATATCAACAATACAGTATTACCCCGCCTAACACGGTTTCACTTAACGCGTTTTATCATATACGCGGTGCCTCGCCAGAGCTGAACTTTCACTTAACACGGATTTTTTCCACATATACGCGGTGAGTGTCCGGCTCGAGACGCTATTTTTAGATTTGCCCCACCCTGCCTGACTGCCTGTTTTAGCTCATAAAATTCATACAAATTACCCGGCCAGAATATAATTTACATTGCTGGAATTCTTATAATTTGGTGATCATTTTGAATATAACATCATATTTTTGCATTAGACATACAAATTTTAGATAAAAATTTTTCTCAAATTAACTATGTTATCTTTTGTGCAATATATATGACATTTATATTCAAATATTCCTGGTCTTACAAGGAATCCAGCAATGTCAATTATATTATCCTAACTTTAGTTTGAGGTATTATTTATTAAAATTTAGTGGTTATCCCACACATCTCCTTGGGACGGTTGGTGGGGGTGGGGGGGAGGGAGGGACCGACCGACCATCTGTTACCCTGTGAAGAATTATTTTTTTTTTTATTAACTGAAGATATTTGTTTTAGCTCATAAAATTCATACAAATTATCCGGTCTGAATATAATTTACATTGCTGGAATTCTTATAATTTGATGATCATTTTGAATATAAACATCATATTTTTGCATTAGACATACAAATTTTAGATAAAATTTTTTCTCAAATTAACTATGTTATCTTTTGTGCAAAATATATGACATTTATATTCAAAATATTCCTGGTCTTACAAGGAATCCAGCAATGTCAATTATATTATCCTAACTTTAATCTGAGGTATTATTTAATACTAAATGTTAAAAACCCTGGAAGGGAGGATTGGTGGGGGGTGGGGGGGAGGGTTGGGACTGACCGCGCGGTTGGAAGAGGGGGGGAGGCAAGGTGGGGTACTTTGATTGACAGATAGTGTTGTGAAGATTATTTTTTTTTTTATTAACTGAAGATATTTGTTTTAGCTCATAAAATTCATACAAATTACCCGGTCAGAATATAATTTACATTGCTGGAATTCTTATAATTTGGTGATCATTTTGAATATAAACATCATATATTTTTCATTAAACATACAAATTTTAGATAAAAATTTTTCTCTAGGTAACTATGTTATCTTTTGTGCAAAATATATGACATTTATATTCAAAATATTCCTGGTCTTACAAGGAATCCAGCAATGTCAATTGTATTATCCTAACTTTAGTTTGAGGTATTATTTATTAAAATTTAGTGGTTTTCCCCCAAAAATTTCTCTGAGAGGGAAGAGCCAGCGAGTGTAGTGTGAGAGAGGGAGGGAGTTGAGTCCATTATTTGAATGGACATTAACTTGGCGACTGTATTTCTCTTAAGTATTAATTGTGTGCATGTACCATCATAAAATTAAGATGTTATTTTTACTACAACATAGGTATGTGCCTTCAAAAAGTGGAGTTTGGGGGTCAGGCCGGTTTCTATTGGAATTAATCCCATATGTTCTGTTGTTCACTTAACGCGGATTTCACTTAACGCGGGACCCTCTGGGTTCAATTGACCGCGTTAAGTGGGGTACAACTGTATTAGTTAAATCAATTGTTTTATAGTATAGAGAATACTTGTAATTGCTAAGTAATGAGGTAACAGTCTTTGTAAGGGGCAGATTTCAGTTGACCCTAAGAAAACCTCAGCTACAACCCATCAACTAGCGTCGTGGAAGATGCACGGTAATTTTCAAGGTATATTTTTGTAATAAAAAGTGCGTCTTCTATGCCGCAAAATACGGTACATGTATTCTCATGGGAGAAAATTCCCTGCTTAACATCATTTTGTGTATATTTGGGACCCCCCTGTATACTGTACTGTATATTCAAGCTGATTACAAAGAAAACAAACATAAGATGCCTTGTTTACTTATAGTACAAAAGATATAAAGTGTGCATTTAAGTATGCAACCTGTTGCATCGTGAAACCAACAACTTAGATAATTGTCTTCTAAATTGAATATCACACACACAAAAGAGTATGACTTACTTGACATTAAGTCCTCCCTTCTCAAGTACTTCTAGAATTCTCTTTCCAACTCTTTCTGTATTTGTTAAAATTGCAACCTCTTCCTCTTTTAATTCCAAGAATTGAAGTTCTGGCAATGGTATGGATAGAAGTTCAATATCTGGAGTCTCTTCTGTGTTATGTATTGATGTCTTGATGAAGGTGTCTGGTAAGATAATAAATCATTAAACATTTGCAGTCATTGCTTTTTTTTTAATATTCATAAAACAATGGTGCATAAATGGAGCAAGGCATTTATATATTTTTAGGTTCTTGGCTTATATTAAAGTGATATAGTCTTACTACTAAAGCTGAATCTTAAAAAATTACCAAGCTGTCTTGCTTCCTCAGGTAATTCATTTTGTGATGGTGGCCATATTTACAAACACTTTTCAGCCACAAACTAATTTTAAAATATATTTACCCTAATACTGTTCTCCCCTGGAACATGATTTTATCAACAATCATACAATATACTTAGTGATTTTACAAACACTGTAAAGAGTTGTGAGAGTTAATGGAAAAGAAGAAAAATCCTGGTTCTGTATTCATTTTCTTCATCCTAAATAAATGTGTTCAAATGTATGAGGAACCTCTTCAAATGCAAATACAGTAAAAGTTAAAAAATCCGGATGCCAGAAATCCGGACCACCCGAGAATCCGGACTTTTTGAAAACTCAAACCCTTTTTTTTTTTTAAGCGAGCTTTTGTGTGTATGTTCGCATGCGTGAGCGCCACAGCTGCACAGCGACAACAAGCGACCACGTGGTTGCCACTTTAAAATGAGCAATCAAACTGTGACAACATATGTAATTTTGAGTCTTACTCTTTCCATTTACAGAGTACTCTACAAGCCCATAATAATGGCTCCTAAAGTAGGAAACTTCGTTGTGTGAAGAGAAGGAAGAACACGTTGAAATTGAGTGACAAACTTGAAATAATTAAGAAACCAGAACATGGTGTGAGCAATACTGTTCTAATGGAAACATACGACTTTGGAAAGTCTACAATTTATGATATAAAAAAGGGAAAGAATAAAATTCTAGAATTCACAGCTTTTTCTTTAAAACTGCTCGTTTTGATAAATGAAGCATGCTATATTTGCTAATGAATAAACTATCAAAATGTACCTGTTCACCTCTTCTTTATTCCTCCTTAAATTTGAATTTTAAAAGTACTGCCTGAGAATCCGGAAAATCCGAAAAATCCGGACCGACCCAATCCCCAAGCAGTCCAGATTTTTGGACTTCTACTGTATATCAGCAACAAATTAAATGTTATCTTTCTCAAGACTTTCCAATTTGAGTAATCTCTTAATTTCACAAAAAGGTTCAAATTGCCTTTGAATATGGCAATAGTATCTTGTGACATCTTGCAGAACAAATTTCTCAAGAACAAGAATACTCAGCCATTTACAGATTACGTATAACCAAACTATCTTGGGTAATAAACTTGCACATTAAGCATAAACAACAATTTTGTGTTCTATTGTACTTGCATTTATGTATATAAATAATTATTTTATTGTGATTAATCATATAAAACTGTTTGTAGATAATTTATTTGCAATGCTAAAGCAACAAACTGCACCTTCTTATCTCAAATATCAAGCTTTCTATGACTCATTATGTACAATTATCTCTCACGTGGTGCAGTCAAGTGCAGTGAGGTTAGTGACTAGCCCGACTCTGAGCATCTCTCTGGAGAGCACCTCCCTAAACCCAAGAGTGTTACTGAACTCAAATAAATGTCATCTCATTTATATATCCTTTATATCTAAATATTTCTTTAACTTTTTAGCAAAAATGTCCTCCTGGAATATACCGTATATACTCATCCATAATTCTACCTCGTGTATAGGTCGACCCTTGATTTTTACCAAGAAATCATAAATTTATGATATGCCTCGTGTATAGGTCGACCCAAGTTTTTGAGGGTAATGGAACAATAATAAAGCACTCTATGTCCTATAAACTGAGGGTCGCTGTGCCTGAAACACCGAGTGCCCAAGGCAAATTGTTTTCCATTTATTATTACGGCACTTTACACTGAAACGCAGGTAGTTTCAGCAAAATTATTTTATAATTCCATTCAAGTATTTATTCAAGTCAATTAGGATAGAATATTATTGTAATACAACAGTTTTTTAACTGAAAACCATTCAAAAAGCGATTACAGTAACATCTTTTGAACAACGAAAGAAAGCGAAAGTCGATTGTTTTCGTCATGATTTTATCCCACTTTCCACTGTAATACGTATGTCATTTCAGCAAAAATATTACATTTCCGTGAATGTATTATATCAAGCACAGTATGAATAGAATATCATTGTAATATAACAGTATTTTAACCAAAAACTATTAAAAAAACGAGTAACATCTCTTGAACATCGGTAGGTTAGGCAAAGTCTTTTGTTTTCGTCATGTATTTTATCCTATTTTACATTGAAATACATCACGTTTCAGCAAAACTATTATTTATTTCTGAAAATATATTTATTCAGGCACAGTTAAGGTAAAATATATTTGTGATGTAACAGTTTTTTGACTGAAAACAATTCGAAAAACACGTACCGTCCAGCTGATACGGCAGAGCCCTGGTCGCGGAGGCTTTACCTTTGCATCGGCCCTTCCTAAGCAGCCTTTAATATTACCGTACGCTGAAATTGTGTTTATATTCTTATTGTCTTGCTTCTTATTTTCCAGGAATATGACAAGTTTGTATATAATACAAAGTTACGGTACTTTTAAAAATACAGAAGAGTGTTGGCAACTGTGCCAACACTCAACAGCTGGTGGTGCGTAGTTCATCATTGTAAACAATATGAGGTTGATGTGGATTATTATATTAAGTGTGAAACATCAAAAAGGTTTTTATTACTAGTATTTTTTGTAGATGTATGGGTACTGTGATACCGTATATGATATAATAAGTTAGCCTGTGCTAAGAACTTCAACATAGACTACTGAAAGCATGTTGTAAGGTAAGTTAGCCTATTGTAAGTTGGTGAGCTTCATCTGCTGAAGGCACTGCACAGCTTTTCATTACTAATTGGTACATATTTTACGTTTCCATTGTTTACTGGCAGTAACTGGTAAATATTTTTCATGTCTAAAGCTAAAAGTTGCTCCTAGCCCTTCCCATCATGCATAGATTCAACCTAACGAAACTATTACCCATGTATACAGATAGGTCGACCTCGAATTTTAAAAAAAATTGGTCTTAAAAACTCAAACTATACACGAGTATATACGGGTAACCCCTATTTATATCATTAGGTTTACGGTAACCATTTATTTACTATATGTTTCACTTAATGTCACACTCTTCCAGAATGCATGACCGACATACTGTATGGTATACCTGAATCTGAAAGAGGTACAGTAATGGGAAGTGAAGGTTTTACCTCAATGCACTATTTTAATAAATGATGTTTTATGGACTAATATTATTTTAAATTTTAAGATAAAAATTTTGCCCCCAAGATGCATGGATTTCACCCCCCGTGAAAATTTGAAAATACAGTACTGTACTGTACTGTACTAGAGGTCAGGGGTCATGAATGAGGAGTTCATATACATTTACTAACTATGAGATTGTAGGATAGAGTATCATTGTACAATATGTTTTCCCATGTGTGAAGGTGGGAGTTTGTCTGTGGCAGTGCCAGGTTACCAGTCACTGTCTGACGCTGCAAGAGTAAAGTTTCCAAAGAGCCTGGTATATTATTCAAACCTCTCACATGGCACAGTGAGTAGGATGCCAGCGCCCGACACAGAGGACATGGACCAAGAGGAGGACCTGTGCGCTGCAGTGTGTGCGGTCACAATCGCAGCACTGGATCAGGATGGATGCATCACTATAGACAAAGACACTGTGTGCAGACGGCCCAGTGTACCAGATTCTAGTGTCGAGGGTGCTGGCGGCCGACTGGAGCCCCCACAAGTCACAGGAGGTGGCCTGTCTGTGCCCGTACTTCTTGGTGAGGGACAGGTTGGTTGTGGTCAGGGGTTTGGTCACCTACACCTCTGACCAGGTCTGTGTGCGCCTTGTCATCCCCGACTCTTTCCTCCACCGGGTCACAGTTAACCTGCACGTGGGGCACCAGGGCCTCGACTCTATGCTCAGACGGGCATGGCAGTCTGTCTATTGGCCTGACATGGAGGGTGACCTGCAGTATCGTTGGTCTGGGTGTGCTGCTTGCGAGACACACGTCCCTTCCCAGCCTCCGGAACCGTTGGTCTTGACCCCCGTGCCAGACTACCCCTTTCAACAGGTGGTGGCTGACTTGTTCCACCTACAGGGTCACAAGTACCTAGCATATGATGACCGACTCACAGGTTGGCTGGAGATTGCCCACTTCCTCAACGAGGCCACCTCTGGCAAGATCATTGTCCGTCTGTGGGGTTACTTCATGAGGTGGGGGGCACCTGATGAGATCTCCACGGATGGGAGTACCAACCTTGCCAGCGGTGAGACGATGGATTTCCTCAAGTCCTGGGGGGTCGAGGTGCGTCGTCGGCCCACTTCCCAGTCCAATGGCAGGGCAGAGGCTGGGGCCAAGGCCGCCAAGAGGCTCCTCAGGGATAACACTGGGCCCGGGGGTAGCCTGGACTGAGATAGGACATCCCAGGCCCTCCTGCAGTACCTGAACACGCCTCTGCGGGGGGGTGAACAAGTCGCCCGCCCAACTTGCCACCGGCTGCCAGCTCCGTGACGGCGTTCCCGTGGCCAGACAGCACTATAAGGTGGACCAGCACTGGCAGCGGCCACTTCGTATGAGGGAGGTGTGCTTGGCCGAAGCCCAGGATGGGATCCTTCAGTCGCAGGGGGAGGTGTCCTGCCAGCTGGCTCCCCTAGCTGTGGGGGCGCAGGTGGGTGGGCAGAACGCCGCCACCAAGCTCTGGGACAGGACGAGCACAGTGGTGGAAGCTCTCCCTCACAAACAGTATGCAGTCAGGTTGACTGGCAGTGGCAGGGTGTCCATCCGCAACAGACGCCATCTGCGATGAGGTGCCTACCACTCCTGTGGTGCACCATGCTATGCCTCCTGGCCCCCCTTCTGCGGTACCGTCCGTACCCGCGCCCTCGCTCGCCCCCCCCAGCCCGTTCCGAGTTGGGCATGGCCAGGCCCGGGAGAGGCCGCAGGCCCCCGGGTTGGTTGGCTGACTAGGTGGTGTAAAATTAATTTTGAGTTTTTTTCTTTCTGTTCTTTGTTTTGTCTTATTTGCTCTCTCCGAGCTTACGAACATGCCATTGTTTGTTTTTTCTTGCATTATTGTTTTTTATCACTGCATTGTTTTCCTTTCGTTAGTTCAAATGTGCCTTGTCATTTCCTTTTAACTTGTTGGGGAGATGTGAGATTGTAAGATGGAGTATCATCGTACGATATGTTTTCCCATGTGTGAAGGCGGGAGTTTGTCTGTGGCAGCGCCGGGTTACCAGTCACTGTCCTACGCTGCAAAAGTAAAGTCTCCAAAGAACCTGGTATATTATTCAAACCTCTCACACTAACTCATGAATATACAAAATACACACATGCAAAAGCTGCAAATATCATGAGCCTACTGTATTTTTTTACATTCTTTGATTATTATATGCCATCCACTACACCTTTTCATATGAGGAATTGTGGATATTAGTATCAATCTTCACATGTTCCCTGTATGAAAAAATCCATTTCTGTGTAAGAATAATTTCCAGAATGTGTAGAAGAGATTATGATTACTGAAAATAGTAAGCAGTGCACTGATATTTATTTTTATAAATAATTTAAATATTTTTCACCTACAGGCTGACATTCTCTTAGCCTGTATTCCATCAACTGGCAAGTCCCAAGTAACAGGACTGTTATAATACTAGCATTTTCAGACAAACTTCACAATTACAGCATGTTTATTCACCATGCGGTTGTTCAGTTGGCCCCAGACATAATTATACCATTATTTCATTACAGTACATTCAACAAATTGCCTTATTTGCCAACAGTGCGTGACAGAGACGTGACCGATCACCCGGGCGGCTAGCGAGCCGATCTTTTGGTAAAGAAGGTAAATGAAAAGGAAAAGTAATCAGAGACGTGACCGATCGCCCAAGCGGCTAACAAGCCGATCAGTGGCGAAGGGGATAAAAGTAAAAGTAAAAAGTACTAATAATCATAAAATAACAATATAATAAAAGAAAATTTAAATTAAAAGACTGAAGTTTAGCAGCAGCTTGTTTATTTGGGCTGAAGCTCTTACACTGTACTGGCAGACATATGATCCACAAGCTGAAAAGAGTTGTGTCAACTCAAATTTAAAAATTATAGCTATTATTTGTTTTTATATAGCTCCCGAGCAAAATAATTGCACAGGGTACAATATTTTCAATAAAAGAGATGAACTGATTTGAAAAAGCAACAAGGGAAACTTTTGATTTTTATACAGAATTTTCTTCTTAAAAAGTATTATGAGTATTTAGTGAAATACAGTACTGAAGGTTCTTTATGAAATATAAATGTTTCTGATACTTTAAAATATGTAAGATAAAACTTACACGATGTGAGCTTGAATAAAACCTTCTGTACATTATTGATGATAACCCGGAGTATTGGGATGTTGTTCACACTCTTCTACAGACTCCTGAGATAATTATTACTAAAGAAAATGGATTTTTGCATGATGATCTAGATATGTTGTCTGTGATATACAAATTGAATAGCATTAATAATATGATCCACTTTACTATGACTTACCTTCTCCACTTAAACTGATATGATATGTTGCAACTGCAACATCAGTGACATCTGTTTCAATATAACAGATATAGGTGTCATTATCTCGAATATTTTTATTAGGACCCTCAGCTAGTACTAAGGCACCATCGGATGACAGCGATAAATCAGCAATGCCACCAACATCCAGCGTACCAAGGAACACAAGATTTCCATTATGCTTCCAAGTGATCTGGAAACAGCAGCCAGAAATAACTGAGATAATACATAGTACACAAATAATAAAATACACAAATCTAGTGTATAAATAATTTTCTATAAATATTTTCTCCAGTCTTATAAAATTGTCTTTAAATCTTTAGTTTCTATGCAGTTCACTATTGAACTTATTTAAAGATTGTTCTTTCACCAAATTAGTGAAACCATTACTGTAGGAAACAGCTGTGTAAATTAATGAGGATAACACTTCTGTCAGGAACACCATTACAGCACTGTTTTCATGTACAGTAAAAATAACATCCCAATACAATACAGTATAAGACTTTTGATAAGGTAAAGCACAATAAACTTAGAGAGATCTTGAAAAATAGGTATTCATAAAGGAGATATTAGAATTTTAAAGAATCTTTACTGGCAACAGGAGGCTGTAAATACTGTAATGAACTTGCGAGTAATATCTTTGTTCGCCAGAATCCCTCTTAACCGGAACTCTCTTATAGCCGGTATTGAAATTTTCTAGAAAATTCAAAGAAAAATTTTCCGGTTCCTGGGAAATTCCGGGGATGGGGGATTTTTTCCAGGCTATGAGATGAAATAATGCATCATTCTGGGAAATTCCGAGAGGTGAGGGTACAGGGAGAGGATGTTTTTGAGGAATCTAAGTAGTGTAAAATTAAATTAAAGGGAGGAGACTTACTTATTGTCGGGTATATCTGCAGATCCCCAAACTGTAGCTTACTGAACCAAAGGAACTTAAGAGCCTTAGTAGACAATGCAGTGATGGTCAACCCTAACCAGCTCCTTATCATGGGGGACTTTAACTATGGCGACATCGACTGAAGAAACGAGTTCACGCCAAATGACTTAAATAACCCCGCTACACTGAACCTCATCATAATGAATGAGGAGGGTATGGTGGCCAAGCTGGAACATCTAATCCTAGCTGGCACCAGCCACAAGGCAATTTTGTAATTCAGATTTAACTGTTATTTAGTTCACGACAAAACCAGGCCAAGGTGTAAATATTACAATGTAAATTACGACGGGATGAGGGAGGAGATAAGGGGTATCCACTGGCTGACTCACTAAAGCATAAGAACGCAGACACTACACTGAATATCATAGCTAGTAAAGTGACCCATTTGATCGATAAATATATACCCAAGACCAAACCCAGTGCCTCTAGGAATACAAGGAGACCCCTACACATGAACCATGCTGCGTTAGACAAAGTTAAGAAGAGAACCCAGACATTGAAGGCGTGGGTTAGGTCAAACGATGAGCAGGACAGGAGGATTTATGGAAGAGCCAGGAACCAAGCAAAGTCAGAGTGTAGAAGGGCTGAAATGGAGTTCCAGAAGCTGGTTGCAAGCGAGGTCAAGTCAAACCCAAAGGCATTTTACCGTTATGCAAAGTCAAAATTAAAAACGTGAGTAGGAGTATCGAACCTGAGGCTTCAAGATGGTAGTTACGCAGATTCTGACCAGGACAAAGCTGAGGCATTGAGCAGTTTCTTTTCCTCAGTGTTCACAAGAGAGGATGCGATTAATCTTCCTGCGTTTGGGGACAGATGGTTCGACACAGCACTGACTCACATTGTGTTCACAGAAGAGGTTATAAGAAATAAAATGTCAAAGCTAAAGGTTGAAAAGAGTCCTAGCCCTGACACGGTACACCCCAGAGTGCTAAGAGAATTGTGCAACGAGCTTGCTGAGCCCCTGAAGATCCTGTTCTGTAAATGCCTGGATGAGCAAAAGGTCCCCAGTGATTGGAAAATGGCTATGCGAATCCTACCTTCAAGAAAAGCGAACGTGACTCCACGAATAACTATAGACCAGTGAGCCTAACCAGCATAGTATATAAAGTACTTGAGAGCATCATAAGAGATGCCATGATTGGAGACTTTCTCCATGACCACAAGCAGCGTGTGGTGAATAATGGAACGAAATCATCATGTGCACCACAGGGCAGTGTATTGGGCCCGCTGTTGTTTGTTTGCTTCATAAATGATATGCCTGACGCTGTACATTCCTCTATAATAAATGTTTGCGGATGACGCCAAGTTATATTGAGAAATTAAGAACCAAGCAGACTGTGAAGAGCTGCAGAAGGATCTCTGCGAGCTTCAAAAATGGTCGCTGAAATGTCTGCTAAGATTCAATGTCACAAAGTGTAAGAGACTGCTCCTTAGACGTATCAACAGTAAGGAGGCGTATCATGTTCCAATGAGATGAAGAAACTGCATTAATTGAGATTGAATGAGAAAAGGACCTTGGTGTATATGTTGACAATGAGCTGAAGTTCTCGGGGTTTTACGAGAAGAAGGTGAATCAGTTAACGAAATTATTAGGTCTTATAAGAAGGTCATTCAGATCTAGATGGTCCGTCCCTCATAACGATCTTCAAGAGTGAAGTGCTTCCCCGTCTGGAATACTGTCACCCCGTCTGGTCCCCGAGATATGCTAGGGACTGTCAGTTGATTGAAAATGTTCGATTTCTATTCCAACTATTGTAGAGTTCCAGGGATCGAGGAGTCTGGCTAACAGGGAGATTACTTATAAAACTTGTGGAAAAAATTATTTAAACAATAATGAGACTTAGAAATAAAGTAAATATAATATAAAACTAGAAAATAAGAAAACAAAGAGCATGGGTGAGCGTATGTGATGTCACAGAATACACACAGTGCAGTGCGGCAGCCACATGACTCTGGGTCAGCTGAGTGGCTTTTTGAATAGTGTGGTTCACTCTCGGCATTACATACACCAAGATCCTAGAGGACAGCTTGGGGGCAGAAAGAGCTATTTTGTGTACATAAAATATGTATTATAGTATTTTATGATATTTCATTATTACTATATATTATAACACTTTTTGTTTACTTTTGGAGGGAGGGAGGGAGGAGGAAAATTGTAATTACTGTAAGTATATTTTTATTTTCTTCTAAAATAAATTAAGATTTTTTTTAAAATTCCTATTGTAAAGAGTTTTGCTTTCTGTTTATCAAATATTAGTCATAAATTAGTCATTTGTGTTATAGTGAATTTCTGTACAACAAATTTCTAAAAATTGGGGATCACTGTAGAGATGCTATACTCCTGTACAGTACAATCTGTTATTGTAAGCACCTATATAAGAGCAACCAAATTTTTTTTAGTAACACCACCATGATATGTAGTTTTACCAGCATAAATACAGTACAGTGACCCCTCGTTTAACGAACGCCTCGGTTAACGAAATTTCTGTTAACGAACTGCCTTCTATAAGGATCTTCAATTTGGTTAACGAATTTCTTACGAACCGACCTCAACATGTTTTCGCTTGCACTGACCGGGCAACCAGCTTTAGTATCAGTCCGCCAATACATTAATCGGTTCTAGGGCTTAAATTCCTTACTATTTTAGTAAATATCAAGAAGTTTATACTATTCAATAATTTTAAAAGTTTAATATTAACTTTTTTAGTCATTTTAACAATTATTGAACATAATTGAAGGTAAAGAAACTAGTTTCTGGCATGCCATCCAGCCTGTTAACACACCAGACAGGTGTTAGTCTCTCTCTGTTTTCAGTGGAGGCAACATCTTGCTTGAGACTCTCTTCAACTAAACGCTTTTTTCTGTTTCCAAGCAAATTATTGGTCATTTTGAAATATATTTTACATATTGACAATATATAATGCAGTGCAGTGTTGATTTAAAGAAAATAATCTTGAAATACACCAAGAGAACTAAAATTTTATGGATGAAATGGTGCCATGGGGTGACTTCTCTTCCACCCCAATGCCTTTTCTTCTTCCTTTTCCTCCACCCCCATTCTAATTCCCATCATCATCATCCAGGAGCCTTCTACTACACACCTCAAAGTAAGTGAACTTTTCTACCATTTTTGTTGAATTTAGGAAATTTTCGGTGAGCTGGAACCAATTACCCAAAAACCCATTGAAACAATGGTTTCGGTTAACGAACTTTTCGGTTAACGAATGACCTTCTGGAACGGATTGAGTTCGTTAACCGAGGGGTCACTGTACTGTAATATGTAACAATATGAAATAAAGCTTCTGAAATACAGAAAGTCTATTTGTTATTTATTTACAGTGGACATTCTAAGAATTATAAGTCCTGATTTTTTGAAGTGGAATGGTCATATTTTACAAAGGTTAATCTTAAATGTATTTTTAATAAATATAGCTAGTTTTTGAATGCCAAATTTAAGAGGTTTCAGTGCAGTTTTCTTATACAGGGTATCTGTACAGTGAATTCTTTGACTAGTATGTTGAAGGATTACCATAACTAAATTCATGAGTTAATATAATGATACCCACACACCATACAAGTATGGGAAAGTGACTGGAATATGACAATGATGATAAAACAATGATTTGTATGTTGTTCACTGCTCTTACTTACATCATCAAGAGTGTATCCGTTACAGCTAAGAATTTCTTTTTTATAAATAACAGGTGGGACTGTGGTTGTTGTTGACTCTGTGGTTGTTGTTGACTCTGTGGTTGTTGTTGACTCTGTGATTGTTGTTGACTCTGTGGTTGTTGTTGACTCTGTGGTTGTTGTTGACTCTGTGGTTGTTGTTGACTCTGTGGTTGTTGACTCTGTGGTTGCAGGTGCCATAGTTGGTGGCACTATGATTGCTGGTGTTGAGTTTGTTGGCTCTGTGAAGGATTCGTAATAATATTCCACTTTCACTTCCTTCGGAGTTTCTTCCTCATATTCAAAATTTTCTGATGGTCTAGAGAAAATATAAATTGCTCGAGTAAAATTCATGATCCACACATGAAGAAATATAAATAACAATTTATGTAAATCAAATAATGTAATACAGTACTCTCCATACAAACACCTACTCTCACAAAGATTTATGTGGCCATTGTTTGTTTACATGCAATACATCATAATGATGGAATCGCATCAAATTATTGGGTAGCAACAGTATTTGCATCGGTGACAAGAATCGTGTCATTAAACTTAAAAATAATTGCTCCCTGACCCCCCCCCCTTCCCCACCAAAAAAAAAAGAAAGATAACTGCATGATCTCGGGAGGGAAGCATCCTGAAAATACCCAATCTTGGGTTGAGTTCCACTGTCCATCAGTCTCCTCCCGTCAGCCGTGCTGGTAGGTCGAGTTTGTCCCTTTTTCTCCTCCTCTACCCTCCCCACTATTAGTCATATAAAACCTCCAAAGCCACCATTTCTATAACTATGATAATACAGTACTGTACCTTGGTAGGTTTGTGAGAAAATATCCGAGAAATGATGTTGGGAATACATTTTTTTTTCTTTATTTGGAGTGAAAATAATATACTGTAGTCTTATTTTTTCTGCTTATATTAAAGCCAAAACAATTAATGAAGCAAGTGATGTATAAATCATGCAGTAAAAAAAAAAATCTTGTGGGATAAATTGGCTGTTGAACGAAGATGTCCAGACCACACGTGAGCGATGATGAGAGGTCCCATATAACTTTTGTTGTAGTCACACTAACTTAAAAACTTCTCGTGCGTGTGAGAGGGTTAACATAAAGAACATCTTTCATTCTACTTTCTACAGTATTTGGTGATTTTGGGGGTCTTTGGTTCCTAACCCCTTATTGAGTTGAATTGCATGTCTTTTTATAGCATACCTGTAATTGGACTACAGTAAAATCTCGATGATACGAGTAGATATATTCCTTGGAGTCTGCTCGTATAGTGAAAACTCATATAACGGAAGGAATAACACATGGGTTAAATAGGGATACGTTCCCAAGCACCGAGTATAGCGATGACAGTAAATAAATGTGATTCAGTACGAGTGAACAAACTGGGATAGCAGATTCAAACACTGTGAGAAGGGAGAGGGTGGCTGGGGGGGAGGACGGTAGGGATGTAGGGAAGGGGTGCGTGGCCTGGCTGAGTGGCTCACAAACATGTCTCTGCACATCTACGTCATGAGAGACGTCACAGACCACGTCATTGTTTGTTCCGCCTACTCGGCTGGGCAAACTGAGCAGCACTATAGTCATGTTAGACAGGTCACAGCAACCACCAGGCTATTAGGTCAAGCTGTGAGGTGTTATGGTTGTTTTTCAACTCGTATTTTCAGGTAGATTTACAGTATGTAACTTTCTTCATTTATTTTTACTCACTTATATGCACACACCAACCTAAATATATAGTGAAAAAAAGTAAAAGAAATAATTGTCCTAAGGGCAAACCTGTACTCATATGTAATAAGTACTAAAAATTTTATGTCTAGTGCAAACTATAGCATGTTTGTACTCAAATTAATCAATATCTTACAAGAATTCCAGCAATATAAGTTATATTCTCCCAAGTCAATTCATTGACATTTTATAAGCTAAAAACTTAAACTCCCTCTACTGAATTTGACTGATAACTACGCACTTAAAATAATAATAATAATAATAACTAACGGTTTATTGAGAAAGTCGGCAGCCTGAAGGCTGAAAATATACATTGGAACAAAAATGACTTGTAATATACAAAGACATGGGGTGGTGGGTGGGTCGTTCAACAAAATCTTTCATTACTGAAAGAAGAAGGAACATGAATTGAACATACAAATTATTATAGTTTACAGTTGATGGCCCGGGCCTGGACTGGTCATGGAGACACCAGGGGTTGAGGTGTTCACGTGATGTAGTAACTCGTCCTTGGGTGTTGATATGAAGGACCTCACGTGGTCATGGAGACATCGGGTGGTGTGGCGTTCACATGGTGTAGTAACTCATCTTCGGGTGTTGATATGAAGGACCTCACGTAGTCATGGGGACACCGTGTGGTGTGGGGTGGTGTCATAGTACCGTACCTCACTGCTCGGTGATGTTGTGTTATCTCATAGTCAGGTGCATAGCCAGCCGGCTCTCTGTTGTTCCCAGGGTGGACGGATTAGCACCTCCTTGTCAGAAGATGGTGGTTAGTTCCCAGGGGTGCTTATCTCACTGGTGGGTCGCAGCTTTCACTGGTAGTGTCTAGTGTTGAATTCACTGGCTTAAACACTGTTCATCACTGATCCCAATTCTTTCCGAAACGAAATTGTCACTTTTGATTATGTAGATATCCCGGTGGTGAGGATGGGTCAGGGAGAGGGGCTTGGGGAAAGGGCCGACATTGGCCAAGGGGGGCAGCTGACTAGCAGGAGCAGCGCCTGTATAGGTCTTGACCCTACGGTGGTCAACACCTCCCCTCTCCCCCATCCTGCCAGCCAGGGTGAAGGTAGTTTAAGGCTTAAAGTTTTTATCTTATAAAATGTCACAGACTAAACTTAGCAGAATATAACTTACATTGCTGGAATCCTTGTAAGATATCAATTAATTTGAGTATATATATCACATAGTTTGCACAAGAGATAACAATTTTAGTCCTTTAGTGTAGTACATTTGAGTACAAAGTGAATACAGTAATTTGTTGCTCAAAATTATGGATTTTTCACAGGAAAAAGTCTGTAGTATAACTAACCTCAGTGGTCACTGAGGTATCATCCAACAATATCGCTCGTATAGCAAATATAAGGTGCAAATTCCTTATCCTGGTATCATTGACTTCTCGTATAAAGAATGCTCGCATGACGAGATCTCCCTGTATATTAAAAATTTTCTCTCCCTGTATATTACAAATTTTCTCTGTGCCTATCTTACAAAATAACCCAAGACTACTGTACATAGTTCCATCAATATATCTATCAGTATCAGATTAAGTTCCAGACAAGGGTGTTCTATACAGTACTGTATCTGCTTAATGATATACCTGTACACTCATGTGAAGTCTCATCAAAATATCTAAACGGTACATGGATACAAGGGTGGAACACATGTGCAGTCTTTAACCGCTAAAGCTCAGGTGACGTTCCTCTCCATCCACTATAGCGACCCCGGGTGACATCCCTCTATGTCCTTAACTTTTGCGACATAGTTTGAATGTCTGTATAGGATATATTTTCATTTGGCAACTAATCAAGAGATGCTTGATTTGAGTGGCACTGATATTGTATCAGGTGACGAAGACAGTGATAGGAAGAAAACAGACTCCACCAGCCACCCCTTTAGCGAGGTCGTGGTGGCCGGGGATGTAATGGAACATGTGCAATTGTGCATGCCAGCCACTCGGCTACAACAGTATGCTTGGAGTGACTGAGCGAATTTTACACCTGAAATACCAGTTTTCGACTGTGAATAAAAAATAAAATAAATAAAAATAAATAAATAAAATATGCCTGCATGGGGGGGGGGGTCCCAGTGGGGCTTAAGGGTTAAATAATGGCAAAATCAAAAGCATCAACTGCTACCTGAGAGACACCTACCTCACTGTTGTATTATCCTGAATTAGAATAGGATAGTCTGTTGTTGATTCACCTGTTGAAAAAAAAAAAAATATTAGAGTAATTAAATACCCCTTAAAACAAGACTTCTATACAATAAAATTTTACAAAAAATGTAATGACAGCTTCCATACAGTGGGTAACTGCGCATAAAAAACTACATATTTTCTATTTCTAAAATAATGTGCTCAACAAAAACAAACAGGGGGTCCCCGACTTATGAACACCCGCCAATACAAACAAGGTTAAACTTTAAATTTACAGTATTTTATTTAGCTGAGAACTTATTTTTTACTTTCATTTGCTGTATTTTGTCATTCCATTTCTTCCTTTGTCTTAGGTTAAGTGATTTTAGATGTATATAAGGACTTAGGATCTGATATAGTGGGATTTTAAACATTGTTCTGTAAGTACTGTATGCATATAGCATGTGTTTCGAATTACGGACATTTTCGACTTAAGAACATTCTCAGGAATGGGAACCTGTTCATAACCCGGGGACCCCCTGTATAAGCAATACCAATACCTTGAAGTAAAATTTTCAATAGAGTTTCTTGGAGGATATGATAAGAATCTTTAGTACTTATGCAGGTGTATACGCCAAGATCATCTTCAGTTATATAAGTGACAGTAAGCGTGAAAATGGCCCCTTTTCTGTGAAGTTCCTCTGATCTTTCCCATTCATATTTCTCTGTGTCACTCACATATGTATACAGTATATCTTCATCATTATGTACAAACTTGACCTGTAAATGAAAATTCACATTTAACCATTATTATAGTCAACAAAACTAAAATAACATATGAAATTTCAGTGACCTTCTTTGACAAAATCATTCAGAAAAGTAGATATACGCTGATTGTCGTTATCTTGAAATTTAATTCCCATGAAAACACTAAAACCTGGGTATACTTTTACTTTTATCCTCTTCGCCACTGATCGGCTTATTAGCCGCCCGGGAGATCGGTCACGTCTCTGTCACGCACTGTTGGCAAATACTGGGCATGCAATGGCTCCTGAATGTACCTGAACCCACTCCAGTGTTGGTCAAGTCATGTCTTGAAAGAGCTCACACTCGGTGCCGTCACAACACTCTCTGGTAGATTGTTCGAAGAGTTTACAACCCTCACTCCGAAAAAGTTTGCCCTCACAGTTTTCTGGACTTGCGGGTTCTTCAATTTTGAGCTGTGACCCCTTGTGGGGTGAACGTCCGCCAGCTCCAACTAAGGACACTCAACTGAGTAGTGCCCTCTGAGATGCTTATACACCTCAACTAGGTCTCCCCTTGCCCGTCTGTAGTATAAGCTAGGCAAGTTCAGGCTCTCCAATCTCTCAGAGTAGATGAGGTGCCGGCACCAGTCTGATGGCCCTCCTTTGAACATTTTCAACTAACTGACAGTCCCTAACATATCTCGGGGACCAGATGGGGTGACAGTACTCCAGTAGGGGAAGCACTTCACTCCTGAAGATCGTTACGAGGGACGGACTGTCTAGATATCTGAACAACCTTCTTATAAGACCCAATAATTTATTTGCCTGATTTACCTTCTTCTCGCAACGACCCAAAAACTTCAGCTCATTGTCAACATACACACCTAGGTCCTTTTCGCATACAGTCTCAACTAGTGCAGTTTCTTCATCCCGTTGGGACATATGATACGCCTCCTTACCATTGGTACGCCCCAGGTGCATTCTCTTACACTTCGTGACATTGAATCTCAGCAGCCATTCCTTCGACCATTCCTAGAGCCCACACAGGTCCTTCTGCAGCTCTTCACAGTCAGCTTGGTTCTTAATTTCCCGAAATAACTTAGTGTCATCGGCAAACATTTGTATGGAGGAGTGTACAACGTCAGGCATGTCATTTATGAAACAAACAAATAACAGCGGGCCCAATACACTGCCCTGTGGTACCCCACTTGTGACTGGTACGGATGACGATTTCGTGCCATTAATCACCACACACTGCTTGCGGTCATGTAGAAAGTCTTCTATCCATGCTAGGACATTTCCCCGAATTCCGTACCCTTCCAGTTTGATTTCAGCCTTTCATGGGGTACACTGTCGAAAGCCTTGGCAAAATCTAGGTAAATATTGTCGATATTACCACCCCGTTCCAGAATATGGGTCCCGATATCCAATACCTTGAGCAAGTGTGTTAAGCATGAGCGCCCTGGCATAAAACCGTGTTGGCAATCCTTTACAAGATTGTTTCGTATTAGATGTTCCATTGCGGCATCTCTGATAATACTCTCAAGTACTTTACATATTATGCTGGGGACCATTTGTTCATCCAGGCACAACTCCCTTAGCACTCTAGGATGCACCATGTCAGGGCTGGTTTGGTCTTGGGTATATATTTATTGATCAAATGGGTCACTTTATTAGTTATGATATTCAGCGTAGTGTCTGTGCTCTTGTACCTTAATGAGTCAGGCCAGTTGATACCACTCATCTCTTCCCTCATCCCATTGTAATTTCCCTTGTAATATTTGCACCTGGCCTTATCCTGAACTAGGTAACAGTTAAATCTGAATGACAACACTATATGGTGACTGGTGCCAACTGGGGCAAGGTGTTCCAGTTTGGCCACCATGCCCTCCTCGTTTGTTATAATGAGGTCAAGTGGCTCGGGTGTTTGCTCCCCTCTGTAATGTGTCGGGTCTCTCACATGTAGGAACAGAAAATTATCTCTCAGAGTTTCTACAAAAAGAGTAGCAGGGTTGTACAAGTCATTTGGGGTGGACTCGTTTCTCCAGTCAATGTCGCCATAGTTAAAGTCCCCCATGATAAGGAGGTGGCTAGGGTTGAGCATTGCAGCATTGTTTATTAAGGTTCTTAAGTTCCTTTGATTTAGTGGGCCACAGTTTGGGGATCTGTAGATACACCCGACGATAAGTAAGTCCCCTCTCTTTAATTTAATTTTACACCACCTGGACTCTTCAAATACATCCTCTTCCTGTACCCTCGCCTGGCTGGCTCTAAGGTCTTGCCTAGCATAGATAACCACACCCCTCTTGCAAGTTTTTTGAGAAAGGTTCGTAAATGAGTCATATCCAGCAATACTGAACTCACATTCCTCTGGGTCGATTCTCCTGTTCTTGTACAACAGTTCTACAACTCCTACGATATCTGGTTGGTGTACTCTTAGTTGTGTTTCAAACTCCTCTCTCTTATCGAGAAACGTGTCAGTATTAGTGTACATGACATTCAAGCCAGAATTTGTTTTCGGTAACGTCTCTGCTCTTAGTAGTAACCCCGCTCCCCCCCCTCCCCATTCTCAGAAGCTGCAGCATTTGCTAAGTACACTGTATTTTGCAGGGTGTGGTTAGAAATGTCAGTGTTTACACGGCGCTCGCCTCCTATATAGTATATGGGTGTGTTTATGGAAGATTCAAGTAACTCAAACATATAATACAATGGCTGCTAATGCTATTTTCGGATTTTGACTATTAGCAGGGGTCTGTGAAACCTAACCTTTATGAATAGCAAGGGCCTACTGAACTGTACTCAATGTTTACTGTCCTGCCGTTTGAATCTGTGTTTCAGTGTTATCCCTGGTTAGCGATAGCTTCATATAACGTTAGGTTTTTCAAGAATGCAACCCCATCATAAAACGGGAGATACTTGTACAGGTGTACCTCGATAACCGATGCATATAGGGACCGGGAGAAGTCGTTGGATAGTGAATCAATGGTTATCAAAGCAATTAATCCCATAAGAACATACCAATTTCAGGGCACTAGGGACTGGCCTCCCTCCAAAAACTCCCATCTACCATTAATATATATCTGTCATGCAAACTGTTAAGCAAGAAAATAAAGCAGACATATAAAGAAAGCATAATAAGCCTTAAATAAGCAATGTAAAGCATAAATTGAGAGTGTTATTTACCTGTGTTGAGGATGACAGAGATGGTCTAGGGTGGCAAGTTCAAGTCTCTACTACTCTATGCTGGTCTATCCCATCACCACTCTTATTGTGCCTTATTATGCCTTACCACATCATTTCAAGCTGCCCAGCACAAGAGGAATTATCACTGGGGGGTTTAGGCATGATTGAGTAACACACTAACTTTTACTTTTATCCTCTTCACCACTGATCGGCTCGTTAGCCGCTTGGGCGTACAGTCACGTCTCTGTTACTTTTCTTTTTCTTTTATCCTAAGTCAGAAATAATGACAAATCACAAAGTCAGAAACACATAGTTAGTGTAAACAAGAGCAAAGATCGTGGGAATGAATCAGGGCAGCACACAGAGCCCTCTGGTGGCAAGAATTTACACCACCCTACTGCCTGCCAAATTAAAAAAATTTTTTTTTCTAAACACCAGTTTTTGTGATATAGCTCGAATGCGACGTCAGCAAATGCTACCTAGGCATGTTAATTCCTTGCCAATTCACCCGGCCAACATACAGGCAATTAAAACATCTAATAATTACTTAATAAGTAACATTAGGAGGACACGTCGCTACCTGGCATTTAATTGCAATTCTCAAACTCCCTCGTTCACCCCCACTATGCGCATCATGAACCTCATCTCTTGCCTCAGAGAGAGCAGTAATTAAAAGTCAACTCTCGAGGGGTGGAATTGGGTGGGTTATGGACGTCGCATTCGAGCTATATCACAAAAACTGTTTTTTTTTTAAACGGCTTTTTGTTCAAGCTCTGAATGCGACGTCAACAAGAATACCCGAGCAGGAGGTAGAGAGGGAGGTGACTTTGCATACAAGGCTCAATTGACTGAGGTCCCGGTTATATTATAAACCGTTTTGAACATTTCCAAAATTAGGAACATTTACCGGAAGGTAAAATGTTAATTTACTCAAAAAGGATACTCACTTTATTCTAATGAGGAAGAAGGTCCTGGTAGTGGAGAGTGACTAGATGGGGGAGGGGAACCCAGCACCACCACATTTGAAGCATCTCTCAGAGATAGATGAAGATAGCTGTCTTTGAAAGTTTTTGAAGATCTCCAAAAGCCCATTTCCTTGATCTGACTGAGACTCATATGCCGCAAAAAGGAGACAGACCCTGCATATTTCCTAGTGTCATGTGCCAAAAAATTTCTTGCCAGGGTCTGCTTGAATTACTAATTGAGATAAGGATTTTGTCAACTGACTAGGAGATAATTTCTTACCATCCCTTGATGAGAAAACATAAGAGCCTCAATTAGGGAATCTGGTTTACCATTCCTGAAGATTTCTAACTGGACACAATATGTGAGGAACCCTAGTTTCATCCATTAGACGTTTTATCCTAATAGGTTGAGCTTGGAAATCTTCCCTTTCATTTTTTCTTAGGATCTCCGTAGGAAAAAGGATAACATGCTCGTCAGAAAATACCAATAATGATGAATTATTGGAAATTGAAATCAGTTCACTGATTCTCATACCCGTTGCTGTTGCTATAAGGAAAGCTGCCTTCTGGAGTAATTTATCCCTGTTCAGATTTATATTGTAATTAGGCCCCATTAGAAGATTAGTAACTTTTTCCAGAGATCAAGGCGGGATTCTCTTGGGTCGAGGAGGTCTCTGAATGAAAAAGGACGATCTTAGCATTTGATAAATCCTTGGGTTCAAAGTAATATTAAAACCCCAAGCCAGAGGGTCAACCAACGCTGATTTATAAGAACCTTGAAGGCCTTTAACTCTGAACAGAAATTCTAAAAATTCTAAAACAACTGTCTCCGATAATGAATCTGGAGTTGTTAACTTGATAAATTGTTGAAAAAGATTCCAAGCTT